TGAGAGAAAACTGACAAAAACTATAACAAGACTTAGGACAAAACATTATAAAGGAATGAAAATACATCCAGATGGCACAAGAACCTATAGAACATGCAACAACTGTCCTGGTGTGGAACTAACACCTACCCACATATTCTCATTCCCGCAGCCTTGCAGAAAATTGACATAGACCCAGAGCAGCAGCTTTATACATCCAAGATAGTGGACATTGCTGCTGCTGCTGTGATAGAAATGCATGGAGACATCTGAGGCTATTTATTGGACACGACAAAAACAACAACGGTATTCCAGAGTAAAATAAATTATCAGAGATAGATACATATTTTTCAAATGAATTAAAATAAACATAATCGATACTGAGTGAGAGTTGAATTAAAAATATTAGAAATTTATTATCTTCGGAAACAAACCGTATCTAAAATATCAATTTTCTTTTTGCTACATGTTTTAATTTGCATATACCTATTTTACATATCTCAGATTGTATTTAAAAATCGTTAACCAATTCTTCATACTTTTGGCGAAGTGGTGTTTTATTAATTTGTTATTTGATATTATTAGGGTTCTTTCCTGGTATTCAAAAAGGAAAAATACGTGTCGATCAGTTATATTTTTCAATTTATCAAACAATTTGGCCGCTGAATCTCTGATTCTGGTAGAGCGCCATCTGGCGAATAAAATTGTAACTAAAATCAATTTCGAATTTTTCATTATTTGCCATAAAAAATCCCATTGCATCCTGAATACAATGGTGTTTACCGCATTGCTCTAGCGCAAATATTCGGGGAGTTATTAATTTTTAAAGTTGTGCGGGACTTTTGGATCACCCTGTAGATTTCGCCTCAAAGTCGAGAATGTACTCTGTTAACTTTACTTGGAGTTTGATGTACAAAATTATATAATGAAGTTAGCCTATTTCTTCCATATACCTATTTTCTCAACTTCGTTCAGACACTGATTTTTATAAATCTAAATTATTCTGAAATCTGCAATTTTTAAACTCTTAATTCAGAGTATGATTGCCATCACAAACCTTCAGTCAGAGTGTAAAAGCCCATATATTCTTTTGAAATTCTAAATACGCTCTCATGGACAAAACCTAAGAAGTGAAAAGTCTTCGAAATCAGCGGACGACTAGTTTTCTAAAGGAAACAAGGGTATTTTGTTTACACTTGGTTATCTCGCGTAAATTCAATAAAGGTTACTGTGTTAAAATATCTAACAAAGTTATTGTCTGAATCCTGATATGCATGTTTAAAGGTACAACTTCCTTAAGTTTTGTCTATGAATGTATTTTATTAGTGAATGGAGAATATTGTCTTTTTACTTCCTTCATTTATCTTGTCCTTTAAATACAGGTTGAGCTATCCACCAACAAAGGCGCTCCACTGATTTATTTCCGTGATGTGTGTGTATTCAAATATATTATGAAGTATTTTAAATATAAAATATCTGGATAAATATTTTTAAAATGTCTTACCTTAGCGAAGACGGGGTCTTTGAAGGCGGCGTCTTCTCCCGTGTCGAGCTGGTCCATGCCCAGCGTCATGGCCCGCCTGGACACAGTTCAGTCTCCACACCCGAGCTCATTCAAGACACTTTCCGACCATAAATACATATTTATAAATGTAACTGATTGAATAGTTATAATTTTGTGTTAAAAAATAAATAAATTTGTGTTAATTTATGCCTAACTGACCTTGTCTTTATTGTTTGCGGAAGAGCATTGCTCGATGCAAATATTTAAATGTATATTTACTGTCCTATAAGCTTATGTCCATAGTTTTCCTGAAAACAATTTCTGAGATTTCCACCCTTTAGTGCTGCGTATATAAGCAGAATCGTCCAATACAGTATTAGAGCTCTGAGAAGCGGTCTGGTGGATTAAATTGGCGAAACCGCTGGGAGGGTTCACCACTGATGAGTCAAGCCCTCCTAATATATTTTTTTCATCGCAGTAAGGACAGTAGAAGTTTGTATTGTGTATAAAAGAAACATTCGTGCTTTTTAATCCTTCATTTTGTATATATAGATGGCGCTTTATTGTTTTGTGTATTTATTATAGTACCTAAAGAGCAATAATCTCTAACAATTAGGAATAATTAATATGTTAGTGATACGATAAGGTATGCTACAAGATACAATGATGAATTAACTCTTGATGTCTCTAAATAACTAATTCTTTTTTTTTGTTTGTTTTCATTTAGAGATGAGCAAAACTTTGATTTAGTCATCTGCTTCTTCCTTTGCCGAAAGGGATTATATGCTATTTTAAAATAGACCTTGATAGTTTTCACTCACAAGGAAATGCATTGGGTGGTTAAACAAAGGTTTGTTAGAGAGTTTATTCCATTAAATCTCTCAATCTCCCGACTTAGGCTGAGTCGCGAATCCCGGCTCAAGTATATTATAAATGAAAGTAAAGAAAAAGGCCATGCCACCGACTTGAATTATTTAGTTCTTATGATATCATATATGGAGCGGGAATAAACAAGATTAAAACTTCACAGAATTTCAATTCCATATCGACATATCTATAATAAGATATTTGACGTAAAAATAAGAAATGTTTCTGAAATAAAGACAGTCCCTGTGGTAAGTGCAATGTTTTAAACCAATAGAAGGTTGCCAAGAAGAAAGAATACAAACAATTATTTGAGTTCCATCGATGGTCCTCTATATTAGATTATTCCGCCCAATCTCAGACAAACATTTATTTTTAGAAGTGACTGCATTTAATTTGGTTTGGAATCGATGGTGTCGCGCTTCCATTCTCCTCTGGTTCTTGTGATCCTTTCTTGTACAGCCATCGCTAGAAGACACTAAAGACTCCTAGAACCAAATGTCTCTACTTAATATCTCTACACAGGTTATGGAGATGTTCAAGTAACTAAACTAAAATATAGTTACTACAGATAAACGATTGAATTGGTGAATTTAATTCATCCACTTTACCGAAGTGTCCAAGATAGAGGACATTGCAACTGCTATGATAGAGATAATGGTTAGAGATATTTTTTATACAAAAGGCTAATTTGTGATTTTCTATAGAATAAACTATTTGTGTGCAAAATATAATAATTTTTAAATAATATTTTTCTTAAATAATCTGCAGTCTATGTTTATTTACTTAATTTTCCACACCAATATAGAAAAAATACGAGGAGAAAAAAATCCTTATCCTACTTTGAAAATTATTTTATCATATTTATCTATTTAAGCAATTCTTTCTTCTTATCTCTCTATACTCTCTAGCTATTAAAAATATACCGAGAGAGAGAGAGAAAGAAGAGAGAGCCTTGTGTCTAGAACAAAAAAGATTATATAATTAAAACAATTTTTCTTAGCCACAGGGGGAAAATCGTTTAATTGACCGCATTGATTACAGGGGCGCTTCCTTTTTTTCCCTTCAACAAAAATGAATAGTTAATAAAAAATAAACAAGGAATCTTTAATAAAACTTTTAATTACAATTTTTATTTTTTTCTTTATTCTCTTGAGATATTTTATATCGCCTGTGGTGGAAGTGTATCTCAAGAAAATAATTCTACTTTAATGAAACCTTTCCTTGGCGAATTTTATGCCAGTTATGTTCAGGTGAAACAGAGACAATATATATAGATGTAAATCACAGTTGATATTCCTATGAAACATATTTTCAAATTAGGAATATATTATATATAGGGAGGAAACCTTCATTTTTGCCAAGAGAAAATCAATTTAGACAAAATCAAAAAGGCCAAATTATGTTTTAGCATGATATATATGTTACGGAATATAGTGAAATGCATGGGTTGCATGCGATAATTAATAAATTATATTTTAGTTTAACTGAAAAAGTTTATTTTTTGCATAAAAAGACGCTCTTTAGATGAATAAGCCTTTTTGGTTATAACCGAAATACGCCTCATTGTATATATCTATATATGCATATTTTATAATTTTTGATTTATTCAATAAAGAATCAAGGGTTTGGTTTTTATATCTTTTTATTTTTCTCGAGATTTTGGGCTAACATGGCCTTCAACACGGAGATTCTAAAGTACAACTTCTAGCAAATTATGACAAGGCGTGTTATATTCGGATAGAGGTTGTATTTCTGGATCTCCGTGTTGAAGGACCTGTTACTCCGGAAGCTCGAGAAATAAAATAAATAAGAAAATAAACCCTTGATATCTTATTGATTAAATCAAATTGTAAAATGAGGGAAGAATCTTCATTATGTTATATAATACTATTATAAAATTTACTGACACCTATCCACTCATGGAAAATAGCTAAGGAAGTTGTACCTTTTAGCTTGTATATCGGGATTCAGATAGTAACTCTGAAAAATAGTTTATACAGGTGACCTTTAAAGAAGACACACAAGATAACTAAGTGTGAACAAAAATTCCTCTGTCTTCTTAAATAAAAAAACTCTGGATCGGAAAAAATGAATATTTTCCACTTCCTTAAATTTTGTCCATGAGCGTATATCTATATTGTCTCCACAATATATAAAAAAAAATTGTTTCCACGCATAAATATATATATTGGGTTGACCAAATATCATGGAACAGGCTAAATCAATGTTAGGTGATTTCTGTTCCACCAGATGGCGTTCTGCCTTCTGTAAAGCACATGTGCTCCTGGTCAGGATATGCCATTTTTAATATAAATATATATACCGTTCAATATTTTTAACTCATTCAAACAAACTTCACTAATGGCTTACGCTTTAGATTATAATGTATTCTATCTTTGTGCTGAGAGAAATACACCGATTTCTAGTATTTTGCATTATCCCTAGTACACATGGTACAGGCCATGATAATCATGGTGGGTAGAAGTTGGCGACTGATTTTAACTGTAAGTGCATCACATGTCTACACAAGTGAAAAGCAGTTCGACTTTTGCACTTACAAATGTGCCAGAGCCCCTTTGGTTACTTATACTCGCTGGTGGGGTTGAACCTTTTCAAGAATCGGGGGCATTAGAGTATTTTATTTTTAATATGAAAAGAGTGCTCAATGCGGGATTCGAACCCGGGTCGTAGCGGTCGAAAACCAACAGTGTAGACCACCCTTTCACCGACTCCCTTCTTTTACCAGACAACTACAAAAGAGCAAAGTGATCAACTCAACTTTCAACTTTTACGAAATTTATTTTCACAATTTCCTATAATTGTAGTTTCAAGCCTTTAGGATACAAAATTAGGTTTTCTAGCGGCATAAGTATAGAATGGCTTCAAATCTGAAACAAAAACCATCAAAAAAGATTAAGTCTATTAAAGTTGAAAATATTGGATTATAAAAGTATTATACTTTTATATTTCAACATATCTATTCATAATATAAACAGAAATTTCGAGGAATATTATGCCGCTAAATTATTTAGAATAAGTAAATATGATGAAAAATTTAAATAATAAAGGGCAGGTGTTGGTAATAAAATAAAATAAATGAATATTTTGACCTCGCTCACATGAGCTTTCAGATGGCCATTTCTGTTTCATTAGATGGTGATCTACCATCTAAAAACTCATGTGAGCGTAGTCAGGATATGCCTTTTTTTATTTTTTTTTTATATATACATATATTCAAAAGATTATATTTAAAATATTATTATATATGATTTTCTATATAAAATGAGAGAAGGTTTAATTCTCTAATTAGATCAATATAAATTGTTTATTTTTTTGCTTATCCCTAGTACACGTGGTACAGGGCATTATAATCATGGTGGATAGAAGTAGGCGACTGCTTTTACTGTAAGTGCACCACATGTTTACACATGTGAAAAGCAGTTAGACTTTGCATTTGCAAATGTGCCAGAGCCCCGTTTGGGTACTTGCACTCGCTGGTGGGGTTGGACCTTTGCAAGAATCAAGGGCCATTGGAGCATTTTATTATTAATTAGAAAAAAAGTGCCCAATGCGGGATTCAATCCTGGGTTGTAGCGGTCGAAAACCAACAGTTTAGACCATCCTTCAACCGACTCCCTTCTTTTACCTTACAGCTACAATAATAGGAAAGTGATCAAATTAACCTTTTCCCTTTTACGAAATTTATTTTTTCAATTTCCTATATTTGTAGTTTCTAGCCTTTAGGATATGAAAATAGGTATTCATATCTGCAAAAAGATATAATTACTTCGAAACTAAAACAAAAACCTGTTAATAAGAATTGAGTCTATTAAAGTTCAAAAATATTGGAATATGCAATAATTAAACCTTTATATTAACACATCCTTTTATAATATAAACATATATTTAGAGTAATATTATGGCCCTAAATTATTTAAAATATATAAATATGTAAATACTATATATTGTGCAAAGTGGATAATATTATTCAAATAACTCAACGTTAGAAATAAACAGTTGTTTCATAAGGTTCCAAAATTCCCATCTCTGCAAAAATAGTTCTGTTAGTTAAAAGGGTAAAATGGTAAAAATGAGAATCTGAAAACGACGTTTTTAAAGTTAAAATTGAGTCATAAAACTGTTTAGGATAATTAGGGTCTTGAGAATAATGAAGAGGAGAATTGTGTGGAGAAAAACAGCAGACGATTTGTCAAAGTCAGCATTTTAGCCGCATTTAGAACCATTTGTCTGTGTGCCTGTGTCTATGTCAGCCTTTTCTACCACAACTAACATCACCACGTTCATATTGGAAACATAAATGTGAAGAGATACCTGTATTTAACTAGCTTCTGGGCGAAGAGTTTCTTCATTTTGAGGTGTTGCAAACTCCCTATAAATTTCTTCTCTTCAACGGGCAAATTCAAAGGCAAAAGAGAAGAGAGTGGTACAGACTATATTAAAATATAATACACTGCGGCCTGTGATTGTAAAACGACACTTGAAGTTACACCGCATGAGTTTCTTTTAAACGAAAAATCAAATTTTTATTTCAATACGTCCAGGGTAGTCTAGTGGACATGGCATTTGCCCCGTAGGCGGAACATTGTGGGTTCGATTCCCATCCCTGGACACTTTTATTTTTCCGTTCGTCATTACTCTTCATAATTCCCACTTTCATACCTCATCCAAAAAGGTTAAAAATTGTCGATATTTTACCTTGAAATAAAAATTTGATTTTTCGTTTAAAAGAAACTCATGCGGTGTAACTTCAAGTGTCGTTTTAAACTACAGGGTGATCCAAAAGTCCCGCACAACTTTAAAAATTAATAACTCCGCGAATATTTGCGCTAGAGCAATGCGGTAAACACCATTGTGTTCAGGATGCGATGGGATTTTTTATGGCAAATAATGAAAAATTCGAAATTGATTTTAGTTACAACTATATTTGCTAGATGGCGCCCTACCAGTATCAGCGATTCAGCGGCCAAATTGTTTGATAAATTGAAAAATGTAACTGAACGACACGTATTTTTACTTTTTGAATACCAGGAAAGAACCCTAATAATATCAAATGATAAATTAATAAAACACCATTTCGCCAAAAGTTAGAAGAAATGGTTAACGATTTTTAAATACAATCTGAGATATGTAAAATAGGTATATGCAAATTAAAACATGTAGCAAAAAAAAAAAAAAAAAACCTGATATTTTAGATGCGGTTTGCTGGAATCCTCTCAGCTATTTATATTTCGAAAATAATAATTTTCTATTTTTTCAAATACAACTCTCTCTCAGTATCGATTATATTTATTTTAATTCATTTGAAAAATATTTATCTATCTCTGATGATTTATTTTACTCTGGAATGCCGTTGTTGTTTTTGTCTTGTCCAATAAAGAGCCTCAGATTCTTTTCGTTTGGCCAACAAAAAATGTCCAATTTATATAGACATATATTCTTACATAATGAGACTTTAAAGAATGCAAATAATCTTCATCTATTCACATACACAACACATCTCCCCCCTTTATAATACTCCAGTCGGTCTAGGGGTTTCCTGGCTCTCTGAGGTCTAGGACTGCGGACGGACACTTGCACAGCGGCAGCCTCCGGTTTAGGAGTGCAAGAGGGCACGTGCACAGCAACAGGCCCTGGTATAGGAGTGCAAGAGGGTACGTGCACAGAAGCAGTCTCCTCCTTGTTTCCTGATGTAACCTCTGGAACCTCCTCTTCACTTTTTTTCTGACTTCCACCTACAGGCTTCTCTCCTGATGTTCGAGGAAGTATCAAATTTCTTGTCTCCACTTGTTTCTTTCTCACAGGTCGCAATTGATTGATATGCCTCTTATACACGACGCCCTCGCAACTTATAAGGTAGTGACGGTAGCTCAATAATTCCAAAATGGTACCTTTTTACCGTTTAGGTCCAGTTGCATAGTTGCGGAAATAAACCTCGCAACCTGTAGTAAACTGCTCCTGCCTTTTTACGGTCTCATGAAATACCTCTCGCGGATTTCCCATCTTGGTATTAAATTCGAGAATCTTGATCTTAAACTTCTCTTCATTAGCAGTTCCGCCGGGGAATTCCTTTATTACAGTTTGGGGGAATGCTCTATGAGCAAATAGGAAACTTTGTAGATTCGTCTCTAAATCATCCTTCCCATTATTCTTTCTCAAAAGGTTTTTAAACTCTCTTACATATCTCTCAGCTAAACCATTTGTACTAGGATTATACAGACTGGTCTTAGTGTGCCGTATATCATTCATTTTGGTAAATTGCTCGAATTCACCGGAGACAAACTGTTTTCCGTTATCTGTAACAAAATATTAGGGCAATCCAATTCTGGCGAGAATTTCTCTAAGATGACTTATATTCGTTTTTCTGGTAATATCTTTGATGATAAAAATTTCTATCCACTTTGAGTATGCGTCCACGAGAACCAAAAACATTCTTCCCATGAACGGACCCGCTAGATCAAGATGAAGTCGTTGCCACGGTTTTTCGGGCCAAGTCCATTCCGAGATGGTAGCCGGGGGCATTCTTGCCGATTCTTGGCATACTCTACATTCTCTAGTTAACTCCTCGATGTTACTGTCTATGCCTGGCCACCAGAAAATACCGTCTGGCAATCATCTTCATTTTAACAATCCCCATGTGTATTTCATGCAAGTCATTTAAAATTAAAGATCTTAATTTTTGGGGAATTACCACTCTTTCACGCCATTGAAGACAACCAAACTCCAAACTTAATTCTTCATTGATCTTATAATGAGGAGCTAGTGGGTTTTCTCTCGGTACACACCGTTGTGAATTTCCACACACACACAGTTGCCTTCTCTAACATTCCTTAATACTATAGACAGTATTTTATCTTGGGGCGTCTCATTAGCCACCTCCATAAAAGAGAACGGTACCTCATTCGACTTCCTAAGAAGATGTACCTGGTCTTCATCAAGAGACTCCCTGACACTCGATTCTAAAGGAAGACGTGACAATGCGTCAACATTGGAATTATCACTAGTTTTTCGAAATTCCACAGTATAATTTAATGCAGCTAATTTTAAGGACCATCTTTTAATTCTGGATGATGCACATATGGGAATTGGTTTATGAGGTGAAAAATATATATATGAATTAAGGGTCGGTTGTCTGTGACCAATACAAATTTTCGTCCCAGTAAGTATTGTCTGAATTTCTCAACGCCAAAAGTTATGCTCAACGCTTTCTTTTCTAGTTGAGAGAAACGTTTTTCCGCTTCAGTTAATGTTCTAGAAGCAAAAGCTATAGGGCATTCTTCATTTCTATCATTTCTATGACTCAGAATTACGCCTAGTCCATAGTCCATTAATAATGATTTGCATTTTTAAAATAACATTCGATATTTTTCGCCCAATTCCATCTACAATTTTTATTCAAAAGTTGATAGAATAGCGCTAAATTGTTTGCTATATTCTTTATGAATCTATAATAATAAATTAAGAGTCCTATGAAAGATCTCAATTGCGAAACATTATTTAGGTTCAGGCGCCTCTATCACTGCTTTAATTTTATTTTCAAAGGGATGCAGTCCATATTTATCCATTTTGACCCCTAAATATTCCACCGATTTCTTTTCAAATTTATATTTATATCTGTTTAACTTTAAACCTTTTTCTAGCAATCATCTAAACAACTTTTGTTCATGATCTTCAAAGTCTTTTTCTGCAACCAAAATATCATCTATGTAGCAGGCCACA